AGTACATTTATATTAAAAATTTAAATCAAAATGGATGGATTTATTATTGGATTGAGCATTGGTTGCACTATATTTGTTATAACAAGTGCAGTGGTTTTAATACGTCGACGAAAGCGCAATAACCGTTATCCGGGTGAAGTTATAGCAGGTAAACGCGATGTTTAGGAAACACGCAATTTATGGGTATTAATGGATAATGACTCACTTCTTCTTTCAAACACAAAGCTACTAAGTTTAGCATTTATAAAAAAAAGAATAAAACATTTCATTAATTTTATATTCTTCTGTCAATTTCAGCACCTGTGGTTGTAACATCTGCTACTCATACAGCACCTGGTGGTTATCCCGTTACACAAATGCCAGTAGGGGCTACAACAACAGCGTATCCATCACAAGCCTATGCTGCGCCCTACCCTCCTCAGGGGTAAGTTTTATTATAGATATTTTAATATTTTATTTAAAATCATGAAAACACAATCTCAATTCGTCCCCCTCAATAGTCCTAGTACCGTTTATGTGGTAAAATCAAACTATAACCAAGAGATTCCAAGCAATCCTACCATTGTTATTACCCAAAACTGATGCAACATCAATGGCTGATTAATTTTTTTAAATAAAAAAAACTAATGCATGTTTTTAAATTCTTTAACAAGTTGTTTTTTCCTATTTTAATATACTATTTGCCCCCATTATCTCAATGGGTTTAACATATATACTGGAAATAGTTTTCATTATTAAGCTTTAAAATAGTTAGTAACTCTTATAGCTAAATAATACTCAGTTCTTGTTCAATTCTACTTCAGTTCTAGTTCAGTTCTTGTTCAATTTTTGTTCAATTTTTGTTCAGTTCTAGTTCAGTTCTAGTTCAATTCTAATTCAGTTCTAGTTCAGTTCTAGTTCAGTTCTAGTTCAGTTCTAGTTCAGTTCTAGTTCATTTCTAGTTCAGTTCTAGTTCAGTTCTAGTTCAGTTCTAGTTCAGTTCTAGTTCAGTTCTAGTTCAGTTCTAGTTCTAGTTCAGTTCAGTTCTAGTTCAGTTCTAGTTCAGTTCTAGTTCAGTTCTAGTTCAGTTCTAGTTCAGTTCTAGTTCAGTTCTAGTTCAGTTCTAGTTCAGTTCTAGTTCAGTTCTAGTTCAGTTCTAGTTCAGTTCTAGTTCAGTTCTAGTTCAGTTCTAGTTCAGTTCTAGTTGTGTTCTAGTTGAGTTCTAGTTCAGTTCTAGTTCAGTTCTAGTTCAGTTCTAGTTCAGTTCTAGTTCAGTTCTAGTTCAGTTCTAGTTCTAGTTCAGTTCTAGTTCAGTTCTAGTTCAGTTCTAGTTCAGTTCTAGTTCAGTTCTAGTTCAGTTCTAGTTCAGTTCTAGTTCAGTTCTAGTTCAGTTCTAGTTCTAGTTCAGTTCTAGTTCAGTTCTAGTTCAGTTCTAGTTCAGTTCTAGTTCAGTTCTAGTTCTAGTTCAGTTCTAGTTCAGTTCTAGTTCAGTTCTAGTTCAGTTCTAGTTCAGTTCTAGTTCAGTTCTAGTTCAGTTCTAGTTCAGTTCTAGTTCTAGTTCAGTTCTAGTTCAGTTCTAGTTCTTCTAGTTCTAGTTCTAGTTCTAGTTCAGTTCTAGTTCAGTTCTAGTTCAGTTCTAGTTCAGTTCTAGTTCAGTTCTAGTTTAGTTCTAGTTCAGTTCTAGTTCAGTTCGTTCAGTTCTAGTTCAGTTCTAGTTCAGTTCTAGTTCAGTTCTAGTTCAGTTCTAGTTCAGTTCTAGTTCAGTTTCTAGTTCAGTTCTAGTTCAGTTCTAGTTCAGTTCTAGTTCAGTTCTAGTTCAGTTCTAGTTCAGTTCTAGTTCAGTTCTAGTTCAGTTCTAGTTCAGTTCTAGTTCAGTTCTAGTTCAGTTCTAGTTCAGTTCTAGTTCAGTTCTAGTTCAGTTCTAGTTCAGTTCTAGTTCAGTTCTAGTTCAGTTCTAGTTCAGTTCTAGTTCAGTTCTAGTTCAGTTCTAGTTCAGTTCTAGTTCAGTTCTAGTTCAGTTCTAGTTCAGTTCTAGTTCAGTTCTAGTTCAGTTCTAGTTCAGTTCTAGTTCAGTTATAGTTCAGTTCTAGTTCAGTTCTAGTTCAGTTCTAGTTCAGTTCTAGTTCAGTTCTAGTTCAGTTCTAGTTCAGTTCTAGTTCAGTTCTAGTTCAGTTATAGTTCAGTTGTATTTCAGTTCTAGTTCAGTTCTTGTTCAATTTTTGTTCAATTTTTGTTCAATTTTTGTTCAGTTCTAGTTCAGTTCTAGTTCAATTCTAATTCAGTTCTAATTCAGTTCTAGTTCAGTTCTAGTTCAGTTCTAGTTCAGTTCTAGTTCAGTTCTAGTTCAGTTCTAGTTCAGTTCTAGTTCAGTTCTAGTTCAGTTCTAGTTCAGTTCTAGTTCAGTTCTAGTTCAGTTCTAGTTCAGTTCTAGTTCAGTTCTAGTTCAGTTCTAGTTCAGTTCTAGTTCAGTTCTAGTTCAGTTCTAGTTCAGTTCTAGTTCAGTTCTAGTTCAGTTCTAGTTCAGTTCTAGTTCAGTTCTAGTTCAGTTCTAGTTCAGTTCTAGTTCAGTTCTAGTTCAGTTCTAGTTCAGTTCTAGTTCAGTTCTAGTTCAGTTCTAGTTCAGTTCTAGTTCAGTTCTAGTTCAGTTCTAGTTCAGTTCTAGTTCAGTTCTAGTTCAGTTCTAGTTCAGTTCTAGTTCAGTTCTAGTTCAGTTCTAGTTCAGTTCTAGTTCAGTTCTAGTTCAGTTCTAGTTCAGTTCTAGTTCAGTTCTAGTTCAGTTCTAGTTCAGTTCTAGTTCAGTTCTAGTTCAGTTCTAGTTCAGTTCTAGTTCAGTTCTAGTTCAGTTCTAGTTCAGTTCTAGTTCAGTTCTAGTTCAGTTCTAGTTAGTTCTAGTTCAGTTCTAGTTCAGTTCTAGTTCAGTTCTAGTTCAGTTGTAGTTGAGTTCTAGTTCAGTTCTAGTTCAGTTTAGTTGAGTTCTAGTTCAGTTCTAGTTCAGTTCTATTTCAGTTCTATTTCAGTTTTAGTTTAGTTCTTGTTCAGTTTTAATCCCATGTACCTTATCAAAATTCGTACTTTCATGCCAAACTCTGTCTTATTCATTCACAAAAAAGGTTATGGTTTTTCTCTTGTTCGGGTCATCCATTGGATCTTTGTAGTCTTACCCACCGTTCCATTATTGAATATAGTTCAATATTCCAAATGGAACCCACCGTTCCATTTGGAATATAGTTTAGTAGAACTCTTGAAACAATTAAAAGAAAACTATGTAGCAAACAAAAGAGGAACATTTTCTATATATTTCTAAATCAGGCGCGGATCCACGGGGGGGAAAAAGGTAAATATCCAACCCAAAACCGAAAATTTTTCATACAAAATATACAAAATCAGGAAAAAGGAAAAAATAATATAAGTAGAAAAACAAAACTTCCCCCCAAACGCTTCAACTGGATCCTTGCCTGTTCTAATTGTTTATCTCAGGAAAATCTTTTTGGTTAAATATGTATATTCCTTAAGTATGGCATATTATTTTCTAGAGGAAATGATTATTACCACAATTGTTTAACATAACTTTTTATTACTTTCTCTTTATAGAGCTCCTACACAAATGCCCATGCCAATGCCTATGCCTGCAGGTCAACCTCCAGTTGGGTAAGATTTAAATAAATTTACTTAAAATTGTTATTAAATTTAACTTAAAAACTGTATAAATCTTTTGCTCTTGCAGTATGCAACCTCATTTACCACCATATCCAGCGACTAATATGAATCCACCTCCCTATGATGTGGCTGTTAATTGTGCCGGTGCTGGGCAAGTTAACAATACTGGTTACCAAAAACAAGCACCCTACAATCCCAACTATCCAATGTAAACAAATGTTTTCCAACATTTCATTTTTCCATACAAACTAGAGATACAACCAACGACTTTCAAAAAACAGAATGAGGGAACTTTATTTAAAGACTTGTTAGAGAAATAGCAAAAATAGAAGTTGCCATAACAAGTAACAAATAAATAATTAAAAAATTAATTATCTTATATAGATATGTAAATTTATTGAAAATTTTATTAGACAATATGTAATTGCTTAAAAGCTATTGTTTAAATCTTTTTTATAAAATTTGTATTCACTAAAACACAAACATTTTTACAAACAGTCAAACAAAGAATGTCGTCTATTCCATGTTACAAAAAAAAAAAAGTTTTACCAAGTATTCCAAAAAATATTAAATTAAAATAGAACATAATTTATAATTTTATTATCCTAAATGTTTATGTAATTTTTAATAAAAGTTTATTAGCTTTCATTATTGTGATATCCTTTTTTTTCGTGAATTAATAAAAAAAGGAATTACTTATTTTTTATTTATTATTTTTTAATTTTTTTTTATTAAAACATAAAACTTTTATACAAGTATGTACGAGTATTGTTATTATTATTTTTTTAATTTGCACAAAAACTATAAAAAAAATCGAATAAAATATGAAAAACAGAAGATGAAATTAATTGGAATTGGATTATGTAGCTTCGTTTTAAAATGGGAACTTATTAACAACTAACCGGTAGTACTTTGCTTACCCTATCGAAATTAAATAAAAACTAATAATTAAAATATATTTGGGTGTAAAACATAAAAATCACGATAGATCTTTTAAAAATCTGCTCAGACATCACAGAGGACCTGTGCCAAATATAACTTATTCATTTGAAGCGAATATTGCCTGAAAACTCTTTGAATATACGGCAAGGCAAAGTGAAATATAAAAGTCCATTTTCTGGTTAAAATAGGGGAGCTAGGGCCAAAGGATGAAAATCTCTGATCACTTGTATTTCCTACCAAAACTCGATTTTTGAGTGAAAACATAAAAGTCAATTTTCTGGCTAAACTAGAGGAGCTAGGGCCAAAGGGATGAAAATCTGTAATCACTTATATTTCCTACCAAAACTCGATTTTTGAGTGAAAACAGAAAAGTCAATTTTCTGGCTAAACTAGAGGAGCTAGGGCCAAAGGGATGAATATCTGTGATCACTTGTATTTCCTACCAAAACTCGATTTTTAAGTGAAAACATAAAAGTCCATTTTCTGGCTAAACTAGAGGAGCTAGGGCCAAAAGGATGAATATCTGTGATCACTTGTATTTTCCTAATAAAACTTGATTTTTGAGTGAAAACATATAAGTCCATTTTCTGGCTAAAATAGAGGAACTGGGGCCAAAAGGATGAATATCTGTGATCACTTGTATTTCCTGCCGAAACTCGATTTTTGAGTGAAAACATAAAAGTTCATTTTCTGGCTAAAAGGATGAATATCTGTCTTTTATCTTTATAACTTTTATGTCTTAATAATACTTGATATTTGAGTGAAAACATAAAAGTCCATTTTCTGGCTAAACTAGAGGAGCTAGGTCCAAGAGGATGAACATCTGTGATCACTTATATTTCCAGCCTAAACTCGATTTTTGAGTAAAAACATAAAAGTCCATTTTCTGGCTAAACTAGAGGAGATAGGGCCAAGAGGATGAATATCTGTGATCACTTGCATTTCCTACCGAAACTCGAACGAAATGTCCAAGTAAGGGAGCATGCAACAGGACCGATCTTTATAACTTTTATGTCTTAATAAAACTTGATATTTGAGTGAAAACAAAAAAGTCCATTTACTGGCTAAACTAGAGGAGCTAGGGCCAAAAGGATGAACATCTGTGATCACATATATTTCCTGCCGAAACTCGATTTTTGAGTAAAAACATAAAAGTCCATTTTCTGGCTAAACTAGCGGAGCTAGGTCCAAGAGGATGAATATCTGTGATCACTCGCATTTCCTACCGAAACTCGAACGAAATGTCCAAGTAAGGGAGCATGCAACAGGACCGATAGAGAACTGCGTACAAACATATCTTCATGATATGATGTTTATAGCATCGTTTTCTTCAACCGAATGCCTTCGTTTGCCTTTAAAAGTTAAGAAATCCAGCATAAAACAAAATATTCATTAATAGAGTTTTATAAACTTTCATTTATTTTGTCCATATAGTTAGTACATTGGGTTATATTCATTTTTTTTAATTATATATAAAATATTTATCAAAAAAGCATAAAATTTACAAAAAGTATTCGTTTTGTTTTCGTTCATAATTGATACAAAATATAAATTTATGTGTAAACATCTAAGTTTTCTTATACAAAATGTTCAATTATTTGAGTTTATAAAGAGAAAAGATACATTCGTTATATAAAAAAATCAGTTAATTAATACATACAGTTTTGTTAAAAAACAAAGACAATAGAAACAATTGACTTGTGGGTATACAAAGTTTTTTTTTTTAATTCTTCACATAATTCACTTTGTTGCCGCCATATTTGATTGTGCATCTACAATTCCAATGGAGGGATATAAGCTGAAAATTAAAAGGATTCAATTGCAAATTAATAATAATATGAAATTCTATGTTTCTATTTATAAGAAGAAGAGATAGAGCAAAAACAACGTTAATATGTGATCAGTTATATTTAGGTTAGAAAACTTGCCGAAAACATTCCCCTCAATTGATTAAAATTTCTATCATTCTCGGAAATTTATTTAGGTTAGAAAACTTGCCGAAAACATTCCCCTCAATTGATTAAAATTTTCTATCATTCTCGGAAATTTATGAAATATTTCTCTGTACACTATGATGAATTGAATTCCAACGGATTTGTTGCACAAAAGTATAGCACAGACTGCAGCCTTAAGGCTAAGTACCTCAGGAACAGGGTCCTAAAGGGTATTTGATCATAGATTATTGCACTCAATAACTTTTTTCACAGAAACTACGATTACGATCTATCGTATGACACTTGTTTGAAAGAAAGTCTCTCTCCTCTCAGCCTTTCTGTATATATAGGCGGCTCGAAAGAGGCCAGCGTTCACGCTCCATAATGAATGTAATATACATCAGGCTGAAATTTCAGCCATAAAAAGAGCATCAATATTGGTTCAGAAATGCCGGGCATCCTTAAATAGAATGGCGATACATTCCAAAATTGTTTCTAACGTGGGTTCGGGGACATGGGGATTGCGCTGTAAAGTTGTAAATTTGGCATACATGAATTGACAACTTGGAATGCCTTATAATGATTTCTATAAGAGTTGTCATGATGAGGAAGAAAGAAGAGTCAATACTGCTTTGCATTTGGAGACATACGATCTGAATATTTAAGGCAGAGATTCTTTGACGACTTGTCACAATTATCTAACATAATGACTTTATCAGACATTTCAACTGGTTTGGGGACAATCATCCATGATTGCACCAAAAATGGTGTTTGCTTGAAGTCTTGGGACTCCCTCAACAAGCTCTATTTTTCTATTCTCCTACTTATTATTCTTCTTATTTCAATGCAGTTTTCTTCTACTCGTAATTTTACTTTAAACTTTATTGACTCTCGCCATCTTCTATTTTTCTTTTTAATATCTTTTCAGGTATCACAAAGGGATCACTAGGACCCAAGGGTGCGTTAAGCAATCTGTGTTATCTAAACTAAAATACAAATTAATCTAGGAACTAAGTTTATAATCCATAAAGTTTTTACAACATTTTAGAATTCTTCACTAGAATTGGTCCATAATAGCCTTTTTCTCCATATAATCCCTATTGCAAGGATTGAAATTAGTCTTAATTCCTTAGTGTTAATCATCATTATTATCATAAAATTATAATAGTTTTGATAATAGGACAAGTAAATTTTTTATGTTTTAGTAAAATATAATAATATTAACCCATAAACTGTAAAGGTCCAAATAAAATTATAGAATATTAGTAAATTTTATGAAACCGTAGTGAAATATTATTTAACTTTCAACCGATTTAAATACATATGTATTATAAAGGTACATATTTAGAATGACATCAAAAAAATCAAAATTAACCCTTAAACGTATATATAAACATATATTTTTATAATATATATAACTTCCGTTATATATAAACTAAATATTCAATGTCAATTTTGAATATTTTTGATCACAAATAGGAATAGATAAATCTTGAATTTTACACAAAAAACAAAAATAGGCATTAAAACAAGCAATTATTACTTTTAGTATGAAAATGTGGACGAACAATAATTAAAATTTTTATTATATTTCCTAAAAATTTTGTATGGTTTTATACTAAATTCGAGAAATTACAAAACAACAAAAAACTTTAACTTACTTTGGAATTGTAGTTGCCGATGCTGGCGGATATAACTGCTGTTGATTGTATGCATTATAATCTTTGGGAATTTGTGTTACAGGTGCCCCAGCATACGCCGTAACCGTGCCTAGTATAATAAACGATAGCAAACACAAATTTCATATTATTCTTTAAGAATCCAATTAATATCTAAAATTTCCTTAGTTCACCTTGTTCTGCTACAACCAGATTATCGACAGAAGCTTTTCTCTTACGTCTCTCGAAGATGTAATAAATTAGCCAAAAAATTACGAATATTTTTATGGCCACCAAAACCCATAGAGTAGGATTCATATCTTACAGTTTTCAATAAAATAATACACAAATCACTTTGTATTCAGCGAGTTCTAAAGTATTTGTTGTTAAATATATTTTTGTATATGAAAAATTATTGCAAAAAAATATAAATGATGCTCATCTGCTCTTGTTGCAGATTAAATTAAATGCGCACACAAATGTTAAATTAAGTTGCAGTGTTGTTTTGTTGCTGTTTGTCTCTGGTATTATTTGTGGTG